TAATATTTTACAATTCTGTTGTGCCGCGTTCGAGAGAAATTTATTCTACAAAAAAATTCAATCCTACCACCAGTACGTCCTTGTATTATCCACTTTCGATCATCGAAGAAAGATCGTGTACGTTTATTATCTCATTATTTTATTCATGTTTCGCTTTGCCACCTTGAAATACCAGTTCAACTGCGATGAGAAAAAAATCACAAAATGTCACGTGACATGTGGTTCAATCGGTGTTGCTGATGAATGCAGATCTTGAACAGTGCAAAATCTGATTCGCGTTCCCAAATTAAGCCAAGCTATCATTATTGTTGTAATAAATTAAAAATATCATCATTTTCTAGATTCCTTTTTTTGTGTTATCTACCTCGCGAAGTAAATACCTTTGTTTCATAACCGGAATGTAAGTACTTCGGTTGTGCTTTCCTTTGGATGTCTTTGTATCGTGACACCGACGGAGTTCCGTCCTTACAGTCCGAGTATAGCGACCCTTATGGCTTGTTAGCTGTACTCGGTGTTCATATTTGGTTTTGTGTGGGTTGCAATTATGGAACCATATTCCCAACAGATTACAGTTTTCGTTCTCCTTGCCCGATCATCTGCACCTCGTGCGTGTACTGTGTATCTGAAACCTTTTTGCTCAGCCTTCGTATTTCCGTTGGTGTGTATTCGGAAGTTAACACAAATTACAAGGTTTTGATTGATTAATCCGCACTGAACTCTCTCCCCGAATTCAGATTCTTCTTATAGTACTTGTATTTCAATCATTCTTGAGTTTTCCTATATCCTTGGTTTTGGATATTTTAGTGGTTTGTGCCTACGATGTGTACAGACCGATATCTAAGCACAGAGCAGTCTTCGTAAGGATAATCCTCGTCTGTTTAGCTTATCAGGAGCAATCCAGGGACGCATCAATTGGCCCATATGAACAGATGACCTCAAGTCTTTCCATCCGCCCATTTTACCGATTACTGATTCAACTCCAAAACTCTATTAAATTCACCATTCCACGATCGTCAGTCCCGGCTTAACATAGTTGTTCTGGCGTATTTTGTTAATTTGCGTTTACATCGGAATAGTTGAAAAGCTTCCTTCGTATGATGCAACTTCAGGATAGACAGGATACCAATCAATTCAGATCGAATATAATTTGGAACATTTCCCCCCAATATCTACTCTATAACTTGTGTGCTATGTCACATCGCGCAATCACGGTTACATCACTCGTTCTTACTGATTACTATGGTTGTTTACGGAGACTCTATTGAGTGGTAATGACCGCGATCTATGTGGCATACGAGATTGATTTCTGTCGCGTGATATTTCTGATTCAGACCCGTTCACATTTTCAAGACTTCATTAATACATGCTCCCGGCTGGTGTTGATACGGTTGGATACGATCAGTCACGTTGTTCGCACTTCAAAATACGACGATGTGTGTCACTCCAGATCTTGTTTGGTTTTTTGTAAGCAAAAATTATAAGACCTGTTTCCCCGTAAGTGTGCATCATCAGTTGATAGTGAATGCAATGGAAAGGTAAAATAAAAATAAATTTTGTACCGTTCCTTCTTTTCCGCAGCCTTTAATACTTCCCCTGGACCAATTACTGAACAGTTCTACCATGGACATTCCCGTCACCTCAAACATTTCAAGTTTGGACAGCCCGAGCATCTCGAGGAACCACAGTGTTGATTTAGGTGGGAGTGATGTACCCCCCTCGGCTGCATCCCAGATTGCTGGCCTTCGTGTCGCACTGAGTAATCAGCAGCGCCGGGTGGAACATTTGTCCGAGCTTCTTAACGAGAGCGAGGCGAATGTGGCACGTTTAGAAGAGCAAGCCAAGGTACGTCTGGGAGGTTTAGGTTCGCTGCGTTTTCACTATAGGTTTCTGTTGTGATGATTGAAGGGTAAAACTGTTAACTACTGGGGCCTTGTATATATCCCATGGGTTAGCTTCCTGGTTATCAAAACAACACGATTGGTTTTCATGGCTGAAGCGACAAACATATCCTACCGGAGATTGTTATCAATCCCTCGATTATTTTGTTTTTATTGATTGATTTGACTGACTATTTTGTTTTTATCAACAGCCGTGTCCCATTGAAATTCGTTTCGACAGTTATACACCATAGATCGCTTACGTTTCCTACCGGTTTTCATCAGATTTTTGTCTTTTGTAATTAGTATGTTTATTTTTCCATTTATCAATATATTTTATTCACATAATTACACTCCCTGGTTTGATTAGCAGGATAGCTGATACGACCATGATCACAAAAATCTAAAGTTGACTTTTATGGGCCGTAAATTCAAGTTTTCGACTTGAATTGCCAATCAACTGCCACCTCCTTCCACTTCGACAGTAGAATAACCGTTGAATGGTTATTCTAATTCAACCATTTGCATTTACGTTCAGCTTCATACCGAGAACTTTATTATCCCTTTCCTCCACCATCATTTCGACCTTATCGGTATGAAGTCGAGCATGCCTTCATCTCTTTGGTTTCTGTCTTCGGTATTGAGGGCAGAGGGTGGGGTGCCTGTGTGAGCCCCATTAGCACTGGGTCGAAGGTCCGATCACAAGTGCTTATTCCTCCATAGCCCCCTCAGGTGCCCATTCAGACGCCGTTTGAAAGCAGCGTCTGTCTTGTCCTCCACCACGGTCGCTGGAAGGGAATTCTAAAGTGTTCTTGACCTCCACGAGAGTCGGTAGACTAACGGAAGACCAATTGACTGAAGTTTCCGCAACGTGATAGAGTGCCCCCGCGTGCGGTCCTCTGTCCGTAAAGGGAAATACTGCTGCAACTCCGGGCCTATATCACTTCTCAGGATCTTCCTCAGACAGATGAGATCTCTCCTGAGGTGCCGATAGGCAACTGGGAACAGAGTAGTAGTCTGTAGACGACCTTCATAGTTGGTCCCGCGTAGTCCAACAACGAGTCTAGTGGTAGCACGTTGTACACGCTCCAGTTCACCGGCCGTGCAGAGGTGTGTCGTCGGATCACCATACTCAAGTCTTGGTCTGATATGGGAGGCGTACAGTCTGAAAGCGTCCATTGTGAGCCGGTTGAAAGACCGCCGAATAGGGCCCAGAATGCTCCACGCGCTGGCACAGACCCGATTGGTGTTTTCTCGGACCTTTAGTGATGGCGTAACCATAACTCCCAGGTCTCTTTCGCATGATGTTCAATGTATTCATATTCACAAAATCCGACGTTCTTCGTGCATCATGCATTTAAGGTCCTCAGCTGTTCATTTTAATCAGTTTGTTTGGTTCCTCTATGGGACGCACCAGCTGGGTTCCTACTAGTGCCGGTTCTTCTTCCTGTGAAAATTTTGTTTCATTCCACGTATNGTATAAATGCTGGTGCTTCACCTTCTGCCAGATCGTTTTATTCACCCGTCCTGGTCGTGGTCCGTTTCTTTCTGGTCGGTGACAGTTATCCTTTTCTCTCTCCAATCCAGGTGTTAAAAGAAGAGATACGTCGCTTGGAACGCATTACCCTTCGCGAGTCCCAGTTCGCGCTGTCCAATCCCCCAAATACTCCAGGCCTCGAATCCTCTGACTCGGATTCAGATGCAACAAAGAGAGATGCACAACTTCGTACGGAGTACTTAAAAAATGTTATACTAAAATTGGTCTGCTCGCCTCCAGACTCCGCGGAGCGGCCCCAGTTAACGTCTGTTCTATCCTCTTTATTGCTTCTCTCACCCACAGAACAGAAAACCTTACAAGAAGGTATATTATCGACCCAATCCAGCACTCATTCCACTTCTTCAAATTCGTCGTGGACATCATATCTGGCTGGTTGGACTTCCCCTAAGAGTTAAATTTATTTTCCCTCTTTCATCTTCTATCCCGTTTCATATTCCAATATTCTGTATACTATTGTTATAGAATATCAATTTGAACAAACTGCAAACCGGTTTCCGATCAGACCGGCATATTTCCAATCAATTGTGATAAGTACTATTCGGCACCCACAATTTTATGCCAAACCCGAATCGTCGGTGATCTTTTCTGTGATACCTCATCAGCTGCTTTCCTTATTTCTTATCGGTCATACTCATGCACGCACATACACACACACGCACGCTGTCCCAAATCCGCCAGTCGGAGAAACGTGCGTTTTTTCCAGTCTCATGCTCGTCCCGCACCTCAGCACATGCTCTGATATTTTCACGGTTCTGCTGTGACCGCACTCATCATGTCATATCAGTGCTGATAGAGAGAGAGAGAGAGAGTA